AATACGCGTATTCACTTTATGTCAGGCATTATTATCTTAACAAATAACAATTTTTTTTAGACCCTTCATGTTCAAATTAAACAAACAAGTTATAACCTGTTAATTAGCAGTAGTGTAAAAGTAAGTAGATTTACTCAAGTACTGTACTTTACTTGAGTAATAGTGTACTTTTACTCCACTACATTTATTGTATAACTAGTTACTTTGCAGATTTGCATTAATGATGTGGAATATAATCAACACTTGAATCAGACCAGCTTTGATAACACTTTAATGCATCATAATAAAACATATAATATTATTCTGAAATGGGCCAATCTGCATAAAGAGTACTTTTGGTATTTAAAGTATATTTTGATGCTAATACTTGTGTATTTTACTCTGGTACTTATACTTTTACTTAAGTACAGATCTGAGAACTTCTCCCAACTCTGTTAATTGGTGACAAGACGATGGTGGGTATTGCCCAGCAGCCTTCTTGAACTCCTATGTCAAAGGTGAAATCTTGTTCCTTCCAATCCTACATCTTGTGTAGTACATTTGTCTGCTTATATCTCCTGGCTCCCTCTTGTTTTCTTTGTACTCCATGGCTCTGCATTAGATGTTGTTCCCCATTCATTTAATAAACAGGATTTGCACATTTGGTTCCCTATTTCGACCACCTTTTGGAGAAATAACCAAGTTAGTTTTATTTCTAAATATTAGATATCAAATGTCTCAGGTCAGTGTGACATACAGAGCACTTGTATCAGTATTAAGTCAAACACTCATAACCATTTGAATCTGATATAGTGCTTTTAACTTATGAGGACATGTTTACTTGGTCTATCTCAGAGAGCGCCAGATTTAGAGATTTTACCTGAAGGACCACTTGAGTTTGAAAAGGCGGGCACAGGTTCAAGTATTCAAATGTCATTACACCCTGATAATGTTGGGTCTTACAGCTACTTGCTTTAATAGAAAAATCACAAGGGCATTGGGAAAACTGCCTTAGTTTGATAGACAACAACAACAACAACAACAATAATAACATATTAGATACAGATAAACATTGCCTATTAACTGTCCCTTCAATAAAATATCTTCTGAGATCTCCTTAGGTTATACTGAAATCTTCAGAAGGTATACAGAGACATCTGCTGGCAAAGCACATCAACAACATGGTGGGAGTGAAGAATGTTAATTGTGTTACAGTTTGATGCTAACACATGCTAACCTATTGCACTACAGTCATGTTATATGTGTGTTTCTGGTAAAGATAAAATAAGTTGTTTGCCCTTGCCTAAAGTTTGATTTACAAAGACACAAATATATACTGGCTTTGATGTATTGTGGATAGATTGATACAACCTGGCAGAGAAAAGCAACAGGGTCCTTAATAATGAAAACAAAAAACAACAACATTTTAAGCTTTTTTATTGTTAATCTGTGAGGTTTTCTTGTGAAAAATATGACTTCTCTCCCAGTCATATTTGTCAATATGAGTCAAAGACTTTTCTCCCTTCCTTCACAGTTCTTTATTTTTTTACCCACAGTGAGCCTACTACGCGGTGAGGAGAGCATCTTGACAGATGATGCAACATATTTGAAGGTCATTGTTCATTGTAAAGTTTGCAGTGCAAACATGATTTCATAACGTAACTTCAAGGTGACATTTGAGTTGGCTCTACGGAACTATAATCAGGCTTTTTCAATCTGATAAATTAAGTTTACTCTGTTCCAGTATATAAACAGGGACGACTAACAGTGAGTGCAGTACAGTGCTCACTCTCAGCCATGATGATCCCTGTTGTGCTCTCTGCAGCCCTGCTGCTGCTGCTTCCTGGGATTCTGACTCAAAGTAAGCTTCAGGACAATTTATAAAACTTTATCCAAAATAATTGTGATTATTTACATTTTAAATACATTTTCCTCTGTTTTATTGCAGGTTTTAGACAGGTTCCCATTGATGTGGTGGTGGAGAACAGCTTGCATAACATTAAACCTCTGACCTTCAGCACACATGTGGCTTACAGAGGGATCCTGCTGGGTGCGCTGAAGGGACTCATGGACACGAATGCAAACTTTAAGTAAGATCGTAAAATCAGTTGTTGACTTTAGGAGGAACTCTAATAAACTCGGACAACCTTGACTGTGTTCCGATCCTCAGAGACTTATCTTGCGGTTGTTGTGGTTCAACCTGAACGCTTCTGTGATGCTCATACTGTAGTAGCAGCAGCTTTTTTCAAATACTCCAAGTAACTTAATTGATAGTTGTCAATTCTGTTTGGTCCTGCAGGTTCACATACTCAGATAATCCAAACTTTGGCCCGTACCTGGAAAGTGTGAATGGGGTGGCTGGAAATGATAAAGACCATACATACTGGCAGCTGCTGGTCAAGACTGCAGATGGTAAAGTCATAATACCGGACGTTGGTAAGTCTACTATTCAAGTGTCTGTCGATTACCCTTTCTTAAGATGTGACTTTACTTTAAATCAGATTATAATACACTTTATGTCTCATTATTTTGTATAGGCATCGGATGTTACATTCCCAAAGCCAATGAGCAAATCATTCTGACATTTTCGAAGTGGTGAAGATTCAGCAGCCACTGTTGGAATTGATTGTTGGACAATAAGTGATCAATCCCACAAAATGTTTCTGTATAAAATGCTTAATGCTTATATCATCCTAATAAAAATATTCATGTGTTGTCATTCCTTTTATTTCCTTTTTTTTTTGGTTTTAATGTTTTTCAAAGGGAAATTAAAAATAGTGTCAGCTGTCAACGTGTTTTGACAAAAGGCCTATCAACTCTTTACAGCACATTTTTTAATACAATGAGCATCACAAATGGAATTCCATTCAATTGTCTCAAACATTTTGACCAACAATGTGATTCTACAGTAAACCATCTTTGGAAATGTCCCAAAAAACAAGTTTACCCTTTGTTTTATAGAGTTGGTGATTTTGTTAGTCCATGTGTTAATGATGTGTCCCTTTATCTTGTCCTTTCAATTCAATTACATTCGCTTTAATGGCATGAACAGCATTGCAGTTTAAAGAGGACATAATTTTGTTCACTTTCAGGTACATATTTGTATTTTGTGTCTCTACTGTGACATGTCTCCATGCTTCAATGTTCAAAAAACTCTTTATTTTTCTCATACTGCCTGTGCTGCAGCACCTCTTTTCACCCTCTGTCTGAAACCAGAGTCCAGTCTGCTCTGATTGGTTAGCTGGCAGACTCTGTTGTGAATGGTCAACCGCTTAGAGATGTCTCGCCCCTTAGCCTATCAACATCAATGTGTAGAAGCGCTAGCCTATAGAAGCGAGAGTGTTACATAGTGATGTCATTATGCCCAAAAACCTATATAACACACCAAAGGAAAGGGACAACCCCAAAAAGGGCCTCTTTAAAGAATAGTATAAATGCGTAACTAATACACTAGCATATGTGTTACGCTCACCGGGAGCTACAGGAGTGAACTCACAATGCTGAACACAGGACGATGAAACAGAGCTTTTGAGGTAAAAAAGGTTTATTAACCAAAAACCCTATAATTGAGTCAAACGAGGGATTTAATATCCTATTAACCCAAGGCCAGGGTTTGTCAACTGAGGAGGTGCGGAGATGCACGGAGGTACACTGGCGAGGTGAACCGAGGAACCAGAGCTGGCGAGAGTTGACCGGTTGGAGCTGGTGTGCGTGGAAGCACGGAGGTACACTGGCGAGGAGAGCCGGGGATCCAGAGCTGGCGAGAGTTGACAGGTTGGAGCTGGTGTGCGTGGAAGCACGGAGGTACACAGACGAGAGGAACGTGGCTGGATGTGGCAGGCAGAGGAGTAGGCAGATGGATTCTGACGGAGAACACAAAGATTAGATTTGGCAGGAACACTGAGAGTTAGTTTAACCATAAACTACATGTACCAAGTCGAATTACCAGCGAGGTGAAACGACGAACTGGTGAATACTGGATGAGAGAACCGGGTATATAAGCAGGTGAAGGTGAGTAGTTGTAATCAGGATGATGAGCAGCAGCTGCGGAGGTGAGTTGGCGGGAATCAGAAGTGGGTCAGCCACACCCAGCCAGGGAGACAGACACACAGACAGACAGAACGAACATAACAAACATAAAACAAAGAAGAGAAGAAGGAGGGAGATACTGCAAATCCTCACACTATGTTATCTATCCAAGAGCAATATATTGTTAAACATAGCATAACCAATTTCAAAATACTGACAGTTTATTGCATTACCTTTATTTTTCCTGTTTCCTGATTCTACCTGCTTACAGTAGTAAGATTGTTGTCGGAGCGTCGATTGCATTTCTGTCAACATTTCTAAAAGTGAATGAAGCCTCTTTACCTTATAGAATGTGTATATTGATGATGGTTTGAAATGTAATTTATAGTGGGCAGTGTGTAAACAAGAATTTGTCCTGAACTAAATCAAAGCTCAATATAAGTTTTTAAAAGGATATAATATTATATGACCGAAAAACAGGAAGACCTTTTTGCTGTCATTTCGACAATAGAAAACAGTATTGTCCAAAAATGACTTGAACAGTAGCATCTATACAAATAGTATCAACGACACCACAATTATTATTCTTGAAACATTTTATTTTAACAGAAAATGTGTCTTCTATGAACGAATAACTACATTTATTCTTGATTAATTAAGAAATAGAAAGAGTCTTAACATTAACAAAGACTTACAGTAAGTAGCCACAGATATTACATGCTGTTACACTTGCATCGTGTTCTGTCAGAGACAGTTTCCTTAATTACCCAAACATTAACCAACAATTATATATCAGTATTGTGTTGCCATCTGTAAGTGGTGACCTTCATATTGTTTAGGAAATGTTGAACAGGATGAATGCCAACAATGGTGTGCATGATGTTTTCCTCGTTCTGAAACCTTTCTGGAAATGATGCTAATGTTCCAAATTACATAATACAATGGTGTTCGTGCATGAGGGACAATTAAGGAAAAAGTTCTCTTCACACAGATTTGAATGCTGTAAGGGATATTTTATTGTTTGTTTCCTGGTACAGAAAGATTCACACAAAGCATGTTCAAGTGAGTATAGTGTTATGTAATCCCACTGCCTGAGTAATAGGAAAGAAGAAATATTTGATTACAAGCAGAACATTTAAAGTGAAGGTGGATTCCCATGAGACCATCAAAAAGTCAAGACATCGTAATGCGAACCCCTCTTTTGTTTACATTAGGGGTTATGTATCAAGCTGTTATTTATATCTGAATGTATGAAATACATAATAATACAGTTGAATCTGGCTTTGATCTTATGATGATTTCCAGTGGCGTCGGATCCTTTAGTACTCCTTAAAATTCAGGATGATTTGGTCATTTTCACTCGGAATGAAAGCTCCAATACCTGCAAACAAAAATATGATATAAATTGATTTTGAATATGATAGTGGAAGTTGACTTTAAAAAGACAAAAAGCAGCTTGACTCACCAACATTAAGTGTGATGGTTTCGTTGGCTTTTTTGACCAGCAGCTCCCAGTAAGTGCGGTCCTTTGTACTGCCTTTCAAACCATTCACACTCTGCAGATATGGGCCGTAGTTGGGAATCCTCGGTGTAGGTGAACCTGCAGGGACGACAGGACATATCTCAATGAAGGACATGGAATACACAACATTATTATATATCTGTTTAGATAATTGCTTTTGACAGAGAAAACAGTGGTGAGTTAAACATTTTATGGTGAAAAGTAAGAAGAGTCGTAGAAGTATGAAGTATCAGTGCTTCAAAATTGTGCTTAACTACATTACTTGAGTGAATGTTCTTTGTTACATTCCACCACTGGTTATAATTGAAAAGGGCTCGATTCGTGCTTAAAGCTGATGTGATGATCTTACCTAAACCCTTTGTTTGTTTCCTGCAGTCTCCTCATTCCTCCCAGTAAGATTCCTCTGGAAACCACACACGTGCTGTAGGTCTTGTTGGGAGCGTTGGTTACAGAGTTTGACACCAGGATGCTGAAGGGAGATACACAATCTTGAAAAAATGAAGTCATAGTTAGTACACAATCTAACAAGAGAATACACAACATACAGGAATACAAAATGTATTGTTTTTAATGGCCAGAATCAGAAACCCTAACCCTACTTCCCGTATCAAGGAAATATCTAAACAGCGGCAGAAGTACAGTGCAGATAAAAAAAAGGAAAAAGAGTAGATTTATATATTCAATAAAAAGGCAAGCTCATGTTATAACAAATACAAACAAATGAGCAAAAACAAATGACTTAACAAGGGTGAAAGTAGTATTTAAAAAGTAAATCAATATATAAAAGTATATTGAGCCGGAAACGTTAACAAATTGTAAAGTAATAAAGTGTTAACTGCACATAATAAGTGTATAAAGAAGTGGTATTGCATACACTTTTATATTGACAGGAACTGTTATTGCACATCAGTGATATTAAAGTATTTGTTGATGTGGTCCTTTAATAAAAACATGACAAATGATTTTTTTCTGCAGCTCTTACTTGGAGTTGGTGCAACTTCAGCTGAAATACTTTCAGTTGAATTGCTTTCAGCTGAAATACTTTCATCTGAATTGCTTTCAGCTGAAACACTTTCATCTGAATTGCTTTCAGCTGAAACAATTCCATCTGAATTGCTTTCAGCTGAATCACTTTCAGGTGAGTCCTTTCTAGCTGGGGCCCCAGGAAGCAGCACCAGCAGCAGCAGAGCCACAGAGAGGAAAGCAGGGGTCATCATTCTGACGTCGGACTAAACCTGAGAAATAATGCAAATATCATTACAAATGCCAAGATCTTTCCCAAAAACAGAACCACCTTGTGTCAAACAGTCAAAACTATCTCTACTGTAACATACCTGTAGGAGTTCTCTGAATCTTTCTGAAGAAGCTCCTGCTTAGTCGTGATGGAGGGACTCCTGGTCAGTATCATTTAGTTCTCTTCCACACCTCACATTATACTGAAGCAACCAATCACCACCTATCAGGCTGATTCCAGCTGAGTCATTACAGTATACATTTCAAAATGTTCTCACAGTCACAAGACAATATGTAAAACCATGAACAATAGCCACATTCAGCGACAGTGACACGTCATCAGGAAATAAAAATCTCTTCCTTGTTTGTTGAAAACACAGTGATGTGTACGTGTGTGTGAGTGTGAACCAGTTTATGATTATTGCAGAAATGTATCATTAAGTCTCATTTAACCCTCCTATTGTCTTCGTTTTCCCCCCCTTACTTTGGTGTTCGCGGTCAAATTTGACCGGTCCTGTTTTAACTGCTATTACATTAACACAAAAACCATTAATCATCACCAAATTTCATTTAACACCCTTTCAAACTGTAAATATTGTATCAGACTCATGCCTAAATCCATGAGTGGGAAATATAATCTACGTATTCGTCCAGTATTGGATCTTCTAAAGTTTCACCATCCCGGAATAAAACAATAAATCTATGTAGGTTATTGGGTTATTTTTCAATATTTGGCAGACGGGACCAAAAAGGGAGGTGTAGCTCAACAGGAACCTTTGATCTTGTGTTGGGTAGCATTGACTCTGTAAACACGACTCTTAAAGTATGTGGGTCACACTGCAGCTTTTCTAAGTAAAATACTTTGATAAATGGTAGTTTTAAACGCTTTTGCCTTTTTACTTCTGATGCTAACTGATGTGAGTCCCATGGTCCCCTGAAGTGGCTGAATTACTTTAAATATAGTGTATATATTCAGGTTTACAATACACGTCCTATTCTTCATAAAGCAGAAGGCTAGGACACCCACAGCCAATTACTAGAACATCTATGTAAGGAGCTCTTTTTAGGTTTTAAACAATAATATGAGGATTTGACTTCTAATGGATTATTTTTACTTTACTTCATGCACTGGTTAATACTGCTTGTTGTTAGCTTCTGTTGCGCTAACGGATAAAAGAAGCTGTTTCTACAATAATGTGGAGGGAGAGCTCTCTCCTGTCAGACTGAGAGGCTGATAACTACAGCTCAGTGAGGTAAAGGACTCTGAGTGTTTAGATAGTTCACTTTAGTCTAAGTTATCTCAGTAGGTCTCAAACGGTTTGGTCACAATTTATGTAAACAAATATTTCCAAAGCACTCCTTTATAATTATTAGGATAAATAAAAACAGGTTTGAAATAATTTCAATGCATACTATAGGACAGTAAACCAAACATATCGTTTAAAACTGGAGAGATTAAAAAAGATGCAAAAATAAATAAATGTTAACTAGGTAAAATAAGATATGAATAAAGAACAAAAATAGAATAAGTTTCATTTATTTGTTATTGGCTATGGTAAGTTATTGGTTATGTTCACATACTTATTTGATTATTAACCTGTTAAGCCCTGAGCCTGTTTTTCAGGTCTCAGGCTCGAAAATGACATTCCCAGAACAAATGACCATATCTTCCCTTCTAAAAGGGTTAAATTAATAATCTTGTTTCTCAAAGTAATGATAAACCTGTGAGTTTGATGTAGAAATGTCAGAATCAATATAGATGTTTCTTATTTTAAAGAAAATTCAGATTTTACATAGTAAAAAACTGTAAATTATAGTGTCCGTCCAAAAATTCTTTTTTACTTATAGTGAAAACTACCCTTGGATGATGGGTTAGTAGACTAAAAGCTTTAGGAATCCAAAGTACAACATATAATAAGTACCCTGTATCAAGATTGATGCAAAACAAGTGACATTTGACCTTTTTAGAGAGATTTAGCAAAAATAAACCACTTCTGGCGTCATTTGGGTGGATTTTCCATATCTCTGGCCCCCCTTGCTCGATTTTGATGGTTGACACCTCTTTCTGACCGTTAGAGCCAATATAATCGAACGGGGAGTCCCCCACACACACTCATTGTGAAAAGAAAAGGTGGGGGCTTCGCACAGGCAGTTTTGCATCAGAGCGAACCTATCTCTAGCTCTGACATCTGGAAACGGAAAAGCAGTTTTATTGCTTATGGATTATCAGAAATCATTTCAAAGGGACACAGACACATTGGATTAACCTATGGATTAACTTCAGCAGCGTTTTTATCGTTTTAATGCCATTGAAGACCACTTTGGAGAGACTACAGAGCCAAGGTAAAAATGTTAGCATTTTTAGCTACCGAGCGTCACCTGTTTTGATGTCTGTTTTTGTTTATAACGTCGCAAATTCGTATAATTCAGTGATAATGTGGGTACCCATCGATTCTGTGTCACCTCACGATGTGAATCGATGTGATGGATGTGGAGAAGAGATAAATAATAAGGTTTTGTGAGTGATTTTCGGTGCAGTAATCTGTTAACATTTTTCGCTCGTTGCTAATTCAGAGGCTCAGTGTTAGCATTGTGGGTTTTCTTTGAAAAAAAAAAAAAAAATGATCAGTTAGATGAGTTTCTTCCCGTTACATGGATATAAAACATTCATAGTTTATTAAATGAACATGCCCTCAGACACTGTTTCCTGCAAGATGTTGCGGCAGTGCCCCGGTACCGGGGTCTCTCGGGCTTAACAGGTTAAAATATAAACCGATCTTTTCCATATGGGTGTTTTAGAGTTGTACCCCCTAGATCTAGTCTCTAGTAATTCTGCTCAAAGTGCACCAGATTGAAGCATTTTACTTTAAAATGTTAAAACAAATCTTCCCGGGGGGGCATACCCCGGACCCCCCTAGAGAATGTGACGTCCACCCCCCAAATCAAACATGTTCATACAGTACTAAATGCATTTGAAGCCTTTTTATATAAGCTGTTCACCATGTCAATACGTTTCTCTTTTTGTGGTGTATTGGTCTTTTGTAGAGGTTTTTCATTGCCAGCTAAAATCTTGCCTAGCCTCTTAAGCACGGCGGTCCCCCCATTGGACCCCTCCCACCGTTTTTTTTTCGAGACAATGTCTCAGGGCTTCTTAACATTTATGAAACTATTAATGTGTAGCACCAGATTAACGGGAAGAATCTCAGCTAACTGAAGATATGAACCATTTTTACCAAAACACAAGTCTCATAAGAAGCGTCTAAATGACCCCTGAGCGAAAAAATGCAAACTGACTTTGGCACACAATTCAAGATAAAGATACCCTTATTACTTATCGTAGCTGCACATACAATATATCCAATTAAAGCTGAGACTCCATAGATTATTTACGTATAGTATCATCACTGAGCGATCCGAACTTGCGACAGGGGAAGCAAACACAGACATCACAACACGTACCTTTACGGAGCTTTTACGGCAGATCGTCTCACCGTAGCTGTCAATTAGGTCAAAAGACGTGTTCAATGGCATTAAAACGAAATAAAAAAATGCTACAACTGTTGATCCATAGGTTAATAATGTACCTGTGCCTTTGAAAAAATTATTTATAATCCATAATTCTATTT